TAAACCCTGAACCCTCAGATGCTCCCTCATGTTGTCTTGGCTCCGTTGCCTTTGGTAGACTCTGGGGCGGGTGCGATGCGAGTCTGTCCTTGGGATGGCCTCCTTACAGCTTCTGGGTCGCGATTGGGGGCAAGGGAAGGATGGTCTGAAGATGTCTGAATGTGAGTAACCCTAAACCCTAAACCCTAAACCCTAAACCCTAAACCCTAAACCCTAAACCCTAAACCCTAAACCCTAAACCCTAAACCCTAAACCCTAAACCCTAAACCCCACACCCTGTTCTATGAACGTAGGCAACAGCACCCTGGAACTTGGCTGTCGGCCCCTCACCTAACTTAACCACTGGAGAATCCACTGGAAAACGCGGAGGCAAATCTTGTGAATATCTCTTCAGCTTTGGTTCTCATGATGCATGTACCTCATCATCAGCTGCTGGCATAATAGCCCTAAACCCTAAACCCGAAACCCGAAACCCTAAACCCCGGCACCAGCGCGCCAAGGCTTCCTTCGCTCGAGAAACTCCCTGAGGATGTTGAGCAACAACCCCATGAAGCCCAGGACCGACGCTTGGGGTTTAGGGTTTAGGGTTTAGGGTTTAGGGTTTAGGGTTTAGGGTTTAGGGTTTAGGGTGGCGGCCCACAGTCCTAGTCCTGGATGCAAAGAAGACTTGCTCCAGGGTTGCGAAGGCGCTAGACCTTGTCCTCGAGGGGTTTAGGGTTTAGGGTTTAGGGTTTAGGGTTTAAAGGGTTTGAGGTTTTGGATGTTGTTGGTGCTGTTTCTATCTGGGAGGACACTGGACGCTCCCCGAGTACCTCCGTGGGAAGCTCACAGAAACTCGGATGAACCTCCCCATGCTTATACCCTAAAAACCAGGCCTCACTTTCCCTAAGCCCTAACTTTCCCTAAGCCCTAAACCCTAAACCCTAAACCCTAAACCCTGCACCCTGCACCCCAAGCCCTAAACCCTAACCCCTTTCTAGAAACTGGAGCCAGGGCCTACACGTAACTTACTGTTGGTTAGTAGGGAAGGAGCGAATGAGGTACCCTACATACTCCCCTTAAGGGTTCAAATAAGGGGATAATAGGGTACCTCATTCCCTCAATCCCCTACGAACCAACAGTAAGATAAAGCCCTCGGCCCTAGAGAACCATCGGGGGTAGCCCTAAACCCTAAACCCTAAACCCCAAACCATAAACCGAAAACCCTACAGAACCGAGGCAAAGCTTTCCGGGGACGGGCGCCGGGCCGGGATCCGAAGTGACTCGAGCCGCGGCCCAGGGTGCAGAGCATTCGTGCCTGCTTCTCGGCGGTGTAAGGTTTAGGGTTTAGGGTTTAGGGTTTGGGTTTGTGTTTTTGTTTGAGACTTGCTTGGAATCGTTCCGAGGGGGCTTAGGAAATTAGGTGGGAATGTGTTGTCCTTGTCTAAATGCGGCGGCTCGGAAAGAGACTGGCAGGGTGTGGGTGTGTGTGTGTGCACATGTGGCACATCACTTGGGATGTTCCCCTTATACTAACTGTCCTTATAGGGATTATGGTGCCCCCTATTATACCCAGATCTTCCAAAACCTATTTAATTCAGGAGCATACCCTAGTTCATAATAATGATCCTTGGTATAAATTAGGGTATGCTCCTTAACGGAATAGGTTTTGGAAGATCTGAGAAATCCCTATGATGGACTGTTCGTATAAGAGGGAACACCACTCGACGTTGTAAACTTTTAGGATTACGGGGTTCTTAGGGGAGGCGGTTAAAGTGGGGTAGGTACCTAGGGAAGCTTAGGTGGGGAGTATATGGGGAACCTTGGGTCAGAGACCCCCTGCACACCCCCCCCCCCCTGTTTTAAGAACCTTAAAACTTAGTAGCACACATCTTACACGTTTTGGTATACTATAATTCCCTAAAGAACTGACAGTGTGCACTTTTGGGGGGGCTTATGAACTCAGCAACTAAGATAATCACATGTAGCGGCGTGGGGCCCAGGTGTGTAAGGATGATGCACATACATGGGGTGAAGTTCAGGAGGGACCGCGTAAGGACCCCAAGTATCCTATAAGAGCAATGCCAATATAGGATCTCTGAAGTGCAGACCCCAAGTGACGGACAAACAACTCCATCACAAGTATCACAGAAGGACAGACTCACCTTGGGATGTTCCCCCTTATACTAACAGTCCTTAATAGGTTAATTATTACCCTTTTAAGAATCCAGACTAAGGACTGTTTGTACAAGGGGGAACATCCCAACCCTGAACCCTGAACCAAACGGGAAATAAAGGGAACCTACATCGGAACCCTTTTGAAGAAGGTGAAAGGGACCGGAAGGCCTGTAACTGCCGTAAGAATTGCTCCCTTGCGTGTCTTTCCGCAAGCCAAGGTTTGAGGCAGAGGTCGCCTGGGTCAGTCAGCTTTGTGACGAGAGGGCCCCCCTCCCCGCCAAGACCCTCCCCGCCAAGACCACTTCACCCGAAGCCAGTCGCCCGGAGATGACGCTCCCTCTCGATTTTCCTCCAGTTGCCCAGACTTTCGACGACTTCTTATCGCCTCGGCAGTCGGATGTTTCCGGGAGTGTGGCGCGACCCATGCCAAGTGCTCTGAACCAGCCCAACGTCAGCTTCCCGCTCCCGGGCATGTGGACCCATGCAGAGCCCCTCATGCCGGAGCCGACCATGCCAGCTGTGCCAGACTTCGTGCCTCCAGAGCCCATGATGCATATGCAGGCGAGCGCACCATACGCGTGCGCCCCGTACATGGCGGTGCCCCACCAGCCCTCGCACATGTGGACCGCACCAGCCCCAGAGAGCATCAGCAGAGACCTCCCATCCCTGGGTTCCGCTTCCCACGGGACCGGCCTGTGCAAGCCTTGTGCTTTCCACCATACCAAGGGTTGTCAGTGCCTTACTCAGCAAACAGTTGAACTTTGTGTTTTCTTTGGGCTTCCTTACTTAGTAGGAATCATGACAGTTTAACCTTGGTTTTCCCGAGGCTATTGGAGAAGGGTTGCCTTACTAATTAGTAGGAATCAGAAAGCTGAACCTTGTTTTTCCCTCGGCTATTGGAGAAGAAAGGTGCGGAGTTCCCTTAGCTATTGGAGAGGGGCTTCCCTAAACCCTAAACCCTAAACCCTAAACCCTAAACCCTAAACCCTAAACCCTTCTCCCGATGATGTGCTGGTTCAGAGTGCAGTCGCGCTCAGTTGCTCAGACTCAGAGATAGCGCCGAGTAAACCCTAAACCCTTGGTTTTTTTCCCTTGGCTATTCGAGAAGTAAGGTGCGGAGTAAATTGCACATTTTGCCACCTGTGCCTTCCCGGGGAAAAGAAGCGCCGGCAGAAAGAGAAGCAAGCAGTTGCCCGGGCGCCTTTGGCAGCAACCAGCCTTGCGGGGTTTAGGGTTTAGGGTTTAGGGTTTTAGGGTTTTAGGGTTTAGGGGTTCAAGGGTAGCAATGGGGAGGGTTATAACTATGGTAGCAAGACTTAGAACCCCGGATCTTGCAAAACCAATCTAACTAAGGAATCTACCCTAATTCAGAATAAGGATCCTTAGCATAAATGAGGGTATATAACCCTAAACCTTAAACCCAAAGGGGTACGTACCCATGAACCTCCAAGCAGGGTTTAGGCTTAAAGAGGGTTGAGGGTCTGCATCGTTGACAGTCCATGGGGCACCTGAGAGAAGAGCTGGGGTTTAGGGTTTAGGGTTTAGGGTTTAGGGTCTAGGGTTTAGGGTTTAGGGTTTAGGGTGCTGCCCAGGCTAAAACCGCATACGGGCGTTAGGAGTGAGATGAGCGAGATCAGTGAGACCCAACGATCAGGTCAGCAACTCTGGAAAAGGTCTCTGGTTGTCACGGCGAAACAGGTTGAGGGTTTAGGGTTTAGGAGTTGCCGAGAACAGCATGTTTCAGCAGCGTGTGGATCTTCCTCAGACAAACGGCTGACAACCTAGACCTTTCAAGCTTATGGGCAGGTATTGCCCATACTTACTGGCACTACTGCTGATTCACAGTTGCTATCGTGCCAGCTGGGCGCTGCCAATGCCATAGTATGTTGCCTAGTATGTATTGGTTTGCGAAATGTCTGGATTCAGCAGTTGTGGCGAGTCACGTAGGCTTAGAGGACATGTCCTTGTTGAATGTGCCCTGACTCACGACTCATGATGCAGCCAACATGCCAACATCTTCTGCTACAGCGGCATCGTTTCGCGGAGTGTAGACGAAATGCATAACCTGCAGCATGAAAGAGCACACTTCAACTCTGGGCATTGTTATGAGAGCTCGGGTACAGGATCATCTTTACCATCAGGCCTACGTGATCAAACCCCCCTAAATTCTGAAAGTGGAAGATTTCGAGTCCTCCCCTCCTAGACCCCTAAACCCTGAACCCAAAACCCCTAAACCCCGAAACCCCTAAATTCTGAAAGAGAAGATTTCAAGTTCGCCCATCCAGTACCTGCTCCCGTGGAGAGCGCTTTGAACCCGTCTAGGGCATCAGCCACCGACAGGCCTCTGGGATTTAGGGTTTTAGGGTTTAGGGTTCTGGCTTGCCTTCAGTCCAGGGGTATTACCTTAAACCCTAAACCCTAAACCCTAAACCAGTGGCAAAAGGGTTTAAGGCTTAGGGTTTTTGGCTGGCATCCTGGCAGCAGGGAGTCCAGGTGCCAAGAGAAGGGCTTATAGGGCTCTTGTTTTCATAGCACCAACTTACTCAGCCAATAGTTGAACTTTAAACTTTTTGGGTTTCCTTATTGAGTGGGAATAATAAAAGTTTGACCTTTTTTTTGGTTCTTGGAGAAGTAAGCCAACACAGGGCAGCATGGCAAGTCTGTCAGCATGTCATGGGTTCCCCTACTACTACCAGGGTTTAGGGTTTAGGGTTTAGGGTTTAATAGGGCATGGCAAGTCTATCAGCACGTCATGGGTTCCCCTGCTACCCCCTCTATGCTACCCCCCCCTTCCCTGCCCCTCGACCCAGGATCTTCAAGGGGCTCAGGGGGGGTAGTATAGAGGGGGGGTAGTGGGGAAGCACATGTGTCAGCTAAGCTTGTGGCCAGGAGGAAATGGATAGAGTGTACTCTTCCTCCAGCACACTACTGAAATCAATGCGGCTGGAGCCCTAAACCCTAAACTGTAAACCCTAAACCCTAGCCTAAAACGAGACTTGGGTACCGGGGGTGAGAGGATGGTGTCGGGCGCCCCTGGGGGTTCTGGCTGCTGGTGGGCACGGAACGTTTAGGGTTTGGGGTTTAGGGTTTAGGGTAAACTACGGACAAATGTGTTGTGACAGTTGCAGACAGCCCTCCAGCAGCCTCGCTAGCCAATTTGAAGAGTACAGGCTGCGAATCGAGGCACCAATCCCAGATCCCAAACGCTTGCCTCGGTATATGATATGCGTCAACTGGAGGACATTCATGGCATTTCTGACAGCCATACCTGCTTTGGCTTTCGCCACATTCTGGTTGTGCGTCTGGGATCCGTTGTATTCTGCTTCAGTGTCAACTGCAACAGACGCGACATGAAGTTGCTCCTCCTCCCGCTCTTCGTTGGAAGCAGCTACGTGGGTTTAGGAATTAGGGTTCTAATTCTAGTCTAGAGTCTACAGTAGCTTCACAGTCACTTCGTCACTCGTGACGTGATGGATCTTTGCACACATCTTTGCCAAATCTCATGCGTACATGGAGGGAGCGCAACTGCAGCACCTAGATTATCACATGGCCCGGTGGCAAGCCATTGGTTGCTGTAGAAAAGGGGGGGTTCCGAAACTAGGGGGGTGGCTGATTGCGGGGGGGGGGGGGGGGTCCTTATTAAAAGGGAATCCTACTATTTGGGGATCTACATCAGGGTTCTCTTATCTTCGCAACCCCCCATGTGGCACGAACTTGGTCCATAATTTTGATATTTTGGCATTTTGCCAGCAACAGGGCCAGGGCTTGTTATTGTTCAAGTAACTGTTACTTAGGGACGGGGCAGGGAACCTTCAAACTCTTTTAGAAAAAGCTAAGTTCTACTCTTTGTTAACGGTGAACCTTTTTGTTTGAAGCGGGGGGTGGGGGTGGGTATTCAGCCCCCTAAGGTTAAGCTATAAGTGATGAATGCCGGGCCGTGCTCTCATTGGTTATGTCGCCCAAAGAAGAGGCACGCACCACAGGCTGAATAGGATGTTTCGTGTTGGTTTCAGAGACGGTTGGCCAGAGCAGGACAAAAAAAGCTTGCAGGCACGTGCTGGCACTCAACTTCCTCGAGTCTTTGCCAAGCTTCTTCAAGAAGTTTGTGCTGGGTCACAACACACAGCCCGAGCCACGTGGCAACTTGCGATCCTGGATCCTTCGCCTGTGCGCATGTTGCTTGTTGTCCGCAGCACCAGCCAGACATCAGTCTCTGCATCCTGTAGAGTCCCTTGTAGAGCCTTGCCCTTTGCAGAGATGATGTTCACAGCCGCTCCGACCATGCGCGTCATGGCTGCATCCTGCCCCTAAACCCTAAACCCTAAACCTAAACCCTAAACCCTATGACCCCGTAGGAGTTGTAGGAGAGTGCTGGCAGCCTTTTCCACGTGAAAACTTAGCTTTGTCATAGTTGGGTACCATTTTAAATTTCTAAGGGTACTTAAACCCTATAAGGAATATTTTTTTAAAGTTTTAATATTATCCCAACCATGAACTAGTTAGGAGCTGGGGTAGTTGACCTGCAACCTCTTGGGTTATATCTAGTCCTATTGCAAGTAAAAGGTTGGCCTTTTTTGGGCTAGGGTTCTCAGCTCAGCCCCTAGGAAAGGCCTCACACATGGTTTCGGGTTTAGGGTGCACAAAACGGGGTTAGGGCAGGAACCCCAAAAGCGTGAATTCATAATGCCATATTGCCCTGGTAAGGCAGAAGAAGCAAACAAATAGTAGATATGGTGATTTCTCTAAGTTATGGTCCCTTTTGGGGTCCTTATTATACGGTGGCCCCTCTTAGTTAGGGCACCCTAAACCCTAAACCCTAAACCCTAAACCCTAACCCCCATAAGTTGTTGCATGCTGGAGGCCTCGAAGGCAAGGGCTTTTCCGCAAGCCCCGCCTCCACCAGGCTCGAAAGATGGTCGGAGCATCCCAGATCTTCGAATAAAACCCTTAGTTAAGGAGTATACCCTAATGTATGCTAGGGTAAACTCCTTAAATAAGGAGTATCCCCTAAGCTCTACTAAGGATCATTCATTGCGAATTATAGGGTGTATTCCCTAAATTTTACTAAGGACCGTTATTACGAATTAGGGTATATTTCCTCCTTAATGAAGAGGTTTTGGAAGATCTGGGAACATGTCCTAAGTAGGCCCTTGGGGTGTTAAGGGCCTTCCTAGTGTCTGAGGATGCTCGATTTCTGTGTAGGGTTCATAAGGTTAGGGTGCACGGGTTTAGGGTTGAGGGTTGTTGCACAAGGGTTTTAAAGGTTTAGCGCAGCTCAGATCGTCTAAGGCAAGGGGAATAGCTGGTGGATTGAGTTATTTTGGGGGGACAAAGAAGGCTCTACTTATACACAAATACCATTATACATACATACATACATATGTATATATATATATGTAACAGACACATAAATATGTATGATAATACACACATATTTTTGTGTGTTCAATAGCCTATCCTTGCTGCTGCAAGGACAAGTGATTTTTGTTCTTTTTGCATCATGGTCTTTTTTCCCCTGCGCAGCGACATTATGCAATACCCAGATTTCGAGCATCGGGGTATAGCAAAACCGTGCCTGAGACACATGCGGCGGGGGGGGGGAGGAGGAACTGCATGCAGACTTGTCGCTTAGTCTAGTGCCTCCTATGCCGATCGTTAGCCGTGCCTGGTCGACGGTGATTTCTTCTGTGTGCGAGGCTCCCCGGCCACAAACCGAAAACGCTAAGCACGAGTGCGAGAGTGAGCGCCGAAACATCCCAGCTCCTTCCAGCTCCTTCCAAAGAAGGCCTTGTGAGCCTTCTGAAATCATGCTGCTCGAGTTCAGGATGCAAGTTTCTTGCTGAATACAGGTCGAACGTACACGTGCCCTGCTTCAGAAAACCCAGTGGCTTCTCGCAGGGCAGGCAGCAGCTCGCCCCCTGTCCCGACTGTTCCGGCTGCATTCTTCGCGCCGCGGCTCGGCAGGCAGTTGGTGCGGAGAAGGTCGCATTTATGGCCTCACGGTTTTTTTGGTAGGGTTTAGGGTTTAGGGTTTAGGGTTTAGGGTTTAGGGTTTAGGGTTTAGGGTTTAGGGTTTAGGGTTTGCGGTCTTGATGGCGTTAGTGTCAGGCATCAGGGCTTCAAGGTTGAGTTTTTTTCTGGAGACACTGGAGCCCCTGACTTTGGGAAAGTGAAGTCTGGAGTTGCTCAAGTTGAAGGATTCGACGTTCTCGGCTCGGCTGGCCGGGGGGGGCGGGGGAGAGATGTCCGAGTATCCTGAGCCCTCTCAGGTACCAGCCGCCTGCATCCGGAACGTGCCGCGGCTATGACGAGAGCTCCCCGGGCTCCCAGGAGTGCTTGGTGAGTGTGGCAGGTGACGACATGCTCGCCACGCGCCCCTTGAAGCCCACCGGGATCAGCCCACCACCAGGCCTGGAGCACTTGGGCTCACCAGTGCGCTCCCCAGCCCTGTCAGAAGCCGAAGCCAGGCCCAATTTAGAGCCTCTCCTTCCCTTCCCCACCCCCCCGGCCTATCGGCCACAGGTTGCCGATAGGCCGATGATCCCACCGCCCCCCAGCACGCAACCGCGCCTGCGGACGGTCCCACCCCCTCCTTCGGCTCCAGCACCGGAGATCATGTCGCAGGAGGCGTTCCGAACTCCTCCCCCTGCTTCTTTGTCATAGCGGGGCAACATTTTGCATTTTTTAAGGGTACTTAAACTCAACATGGAATAGAATTGTAGATGTTTAATAACTATCCCAACCATGAACGAGGCTCCGCGTGAAGAGCCTTGCTTGCGTTTAGCGCTCTCCACCTACCTGCTTCGCGAGAGCGAAGCGGCAGCCGGGCAGCATGACGACTGCAAGCCATGCGCCTTCTTCCACACCAAAGGATGCCCCTGGGATGCAGGATCAAAGCTGGTGCCCTCAACGTGTCTCTGAAGGGTCGTCGGTTTGCTGAGCTTTCTGTTGCTTGCAAGTCGCTGAAATCGTTCTAGAATCTGGATCGTAAACCCTAAACCCTAAACCCTAAACCCTAAACCCTAAACCCTAAACCCTAAACCCTAAACCCTAAACCCTAGAGAAGGTCGAAGTGGCAGCAACTGCTCATTCTGCCACCTTTGCCCTCCTGGGGAAGCTCGGTTGCGTTTTGTGCCTTCCAGCAGCACCTCGGGTTTAGAGGTTCTTTTCAGCCCTACTGACGGTTTAGGGTTTAGGGTTTAGGGTTTAGGGGGGAACCCCTTCAAGAAACTTGACTTATCCCGACAAGCCCGAAGCCACTAAACCTCTCAACCCTAAGCCTTCAACCCTAAACCCCCTGGTTCTACTACATAGGCATCGGCGGGCTCCCCACAAAAAGCCATTATGAGACTCTACCTTGGACCCCGAAGATTGTACCCTTGGGCTTGGGGGTTTAGGGTTTAGGGTTTAGGGTTTAGGGTTTAGGGTTTAGGGTTCAGGGATTGCACCCTTGGGCTTGGGGGGGACACATTTTTGTTTGGTAAAGATCCTCTCAGGGGAAGTTAGGGCCGCATTCGGAGTATGTCAAGGGGAACTCTTGGGGGGGTATAACACCAACACCTTAGGGGTCCCCAAAGAGCCCAATATTCCTTAGTTAAGGAATATACCTTAAATCTTATAAATCTTATAGGGATCCTTATCATGATTTAAGGTATATTCTTAATTCAGCAATATTGGGCTCTCTGGATACCCTAAACCCTAAACCCTAAACCCTAAACCCTAAACCCTAAACCCTAAACCCTAAACCCTAAACCCCAAACCCCAAACCCCAAACCCCAAACCCCAAACCCCAAACCCTAAACCCTAAACCCTAAACCCTAAACCCTAAACCCTAAACCCTAAA